GTAAGGCAAATACCCACTGGAAAGTGGTTTGTGTCACAGTACTGCACATCTTCATACTCATCAGGAACCACCGGTCCCATGTGTGGATCAGGGTCTTGCTTTTGAAAAAGCGCCTGATCTTCACCCCTGCCTGAGGAAGCAGCTGTACTAGGGCTGCACAAGTAACCTGGGCTTTGCAGCCTGACTTTGTAATGTAAGTGTTCTTATAACATATTACGTGTAATATTAAATTAGCTTGCACAGCTATTTATTTTCAAGAAAATAGTAAAAATGTAACAAGAAACTACAGGATTTTATCTTCTGTAGCATCACTAGCATAGGCTTAAAATTGGAGTGAAGTTAAGATTGCTGTTTTCATGGCAGGCTGTCACCCCATTTTCCCTGTGTCTTGTGAACCCTTCCTATGGGAATATTCTTGGAACCAAAAACAGCAGATTTCATCCTAAATCCCCAACATCAATCCTCCCATCTCCACACATTAAACTGTAGATACAAGATCTTTAGATCAGTTTCACAACTTTGAGGCTGGAAAAGAACAGTCTGAGACAGCAGCAATTTGAAGAATCCAGAAAACTCATCAGAAGATTGTTGGAAGAGTGAGAATTTTGGCAGGACACTCTCTTTTATTTTTTCCCAGCGCAGCTGAGTTAATTGATGAGTGTATGGAATGAGCAGCCTTCTAGGAAGAAGTATTTTATAACAAAGAAAGATGTGTATTTTCAGCTTATGAGGTCCTATGACAATGCTGGGTAATATTGACTTTACTTCATTATAGATAATAATGGCTGTAGATTTAATCACTGTGTCTGGCAACAGATGTTGGTGCAACTGTGACAACTGTTTGCTAATTAAATGGTTTGCTTGATTGGCTTTCAGAGAGACTTGTTTCATGTGCTAGTTAGAACTATTTACACAGGAAATTAAACTTCTGAAAATTGCTCTGTGAAGAGCCTAGTTTGGAACTGACATTTTTTGTTTGTTTCTTTCATCATGTCTTAACTTTCATCGGGGAAGTAGTGGCGATTGATATTTAGCAATATGGCTGCATGTTTCCAAAAGATTTCTAATATCACACTCATTCAGGAATGGCATATAATACCATTTGAGATGAAAGAAGTTGGACGGCAATAGAAACTAAGGTTGACAGTTGGTTAAAACATCCTTTTTTATACCTCTGTCTTCCATATCGCTATGTATTTTGCAACTTGGAGAGACCTTATTATAAAAGCTTTAAAGTCCCATCCGTTTCTTACCAGCCTTGTTTCTGACAATGTTTAAGGCTTGAAAGAACATGAATAATTCCTTGATGGCATTTGGGTTGCAGGGGATCAGCTACAGAAAGTCTGTACTGAGATTGGGTAGGTTACACTGTACCTGCAGAGCAGATATTGTCTCTTGCTTGTCAGGATGTTATCAGTGATGTGCTGAAGCTCTACACAGCCTTGGTTTGGACCTGGGAGTTGTAGCCTTGCCTTACTGGGACAGCAGAGATTCAATCCAAAGCTCTGAGATCTAATTCAATAGTAGCCTGATAGGATTTGAAATTTCCCTTCCTTTCCTATGCCTGTGTGTTACCCACTCTCTTAGTCACTTGAGATTTTCTGCCCTCTCCCTCACTGCCCATTTGGGACAGCTTGATCTGCACAGCAAGGACAAATGTGCCGTTTCTGGGCATGACATGGCTGAACGTGCGGTGTCTCTGCTCCAAAATGTTCACGTGGCCAAACTGCTCAAGGCCAACGCGCTTCGAGACGCGGCCTCTGCCTCTGCGCTGCGGCGGGAGCCGAGGGCTTCCAGAACCAGTTTGTATTGGCAAGCGCACAAAAAACGCGGTGCTGGGCTGTTCTGAAAATATGAGCCTGTCCTGTTAGCAGAGGAATACGGGATATTTGCACACTTGGAGTCTATGAATGCAGCTTTTTAAAATGACAGAAATGAAATTTCCGTGCAGCAATTTTCTATGTGCTTCTCTTTGAGCTAAGCATCTACTTTCACACATTTCCCAGTGCAGGGACAACTGATTGCTTTCAGGCTCAGATGTTGCTTGCTTAGTCTTCATGCGCTTTTTAAAATTGATCTGGCAGTGGATCAGTGGAATTAAAATGAGAAATTTATGATTCACAAGACCTTTTGTACCATGGCTTAATGTTTTTAATGGTGAACAAGCGATGGGCCAAAGCTTTTGATCGCTTCCTGTCAAATATTTGTTTGAAAAAAGACTTCTGCTTTTGGTCAGCTGGATAGTTCTTGTAAACCTTTAATGCTCTATGCCAAAATAATTTATATAATGCACTTTAAATAGAGTGATCTCATACACTTCCAGTAGCGTAAATGCTCACGGTTGTATGCACCAGTCTTTCTGGTATAATATGGTGCCATTAACTAGTCCTAGGAATTAAGCTGAACAAAAATAAAGTTATTAGACTGTCCAAATGTCTGCCTGTGCTAGATGTCTGTACTAAATATTACGATTAGTGTGTTTCTGTATAAACAGTCCAGTAAATATTGGGGCCCTTCCCCACTTCATGGAATCTCTTGGAAAATACTGTAACCAGCAGTCTCCCAAATACACATACCACCTCCTAATCTTTCATTTTCGATGCTTCTAGGAAAACAGGCTGCAGTGGGCCCAAAAGGGATTCCTTAGCCTAGGAAGGAAGCTTAGCTCCTGAAGAACAATAGTTCTTCTCTGAAACAACCTCCCACAGCCTCCTGTGGATGCAAACTGACCAGCTCCGCTCTGTCACACGAGGAAGCTTATTTAAAGGTGCTCCTTGCATCACGCCTGAAAAATGGGAAAAGTGTGAACGTGGCCCACACCAAAGCAAGCAAAACAGGGTTTTCCTCAGCTGCTGAATTTTCTAATCGTTCTTCTCTCAGAGCCCCTTAGGCTGATACTCTTAAGTCAGCTCTAAGGTGACAGAGATAATCCAGTCTCCAATGTCTGTCGTGTTGAACTCTGCCAAAGGATAGGTGAAAAAATATTAAGTCTGCATATAGTTTCTGATAACCCTAAGCCCAGTTTAGGGAGTTAAAGCTGGATTGAATATAAACTCAGATTTTTCTTTTTGTTGGTTTTTGTCATGTGTGCAACACAAAGTGAACCCGTACTTGACTGTTTCATGAAATAGCTGCATTTGAATTTTTTAAGAAACGTCATAGAAATAAAACAAATAACATACTGTGTATTTATGTGTGCCTTACAGTGTGCAAGTTTAAAGCACATAAAAGATGTGCTGTCAGAGCAACAAATAACTGCAAGTGGACTACATTAGCCTCAATTGGAAAAGATATCATTGAAGATGAAGATGGTGTAAGTATTATTCATATTTACAGTACTTTCCAACAGCTGTTTCTTCCTAGTAGGGGAAAAACCGCTTAATGTAGAAATGTGGTCATTAGATCCATTAAAACTAATGGTGGGTGACTGTATTCCTGACCACTTTTCAAAGCTTTAGAACAGAAGTTATATTCCTCTGTTATGAGAGCAGTTTGATATCTGTGGGCGCAGGATTGTTGCTGTGTTAAAAGATTTTAAAGACCACATGCAGAGAAATTCTGAGGCTGGAAAATTGCTCAGAGAAGTTCCTACTGCTCCAGAGCAAAGGTGGTATTTTATACTCTAGTTACGCTATTTTGGCAATCTGTTTTGTGTCCTTCTTACTGATGCTTACTCCCCAGGAGACCTGTGTGGAATTCACTGGCGCATGGAAGGTTTTTTACTGATGAAAGCAAGAATTTTAAAATTAGAAGAAGAAATACAGCTTTTCAGAGGTTTATTCTGATAGATGGGTTATTTTTGCAAACACAACCATGCACATGCCACTAGCACAAAACCTTTCCTTAGACGCTGAGTCCTAAATTGCACAAATGTCAATGTAATTTCATCGTTACCTAGAGTTGCATATCTTACTATTTGGACAAAAAGTGTGTTAAGTTTTGTGCTGCGTTTAGAGCCTGCTTTATAGAGCTGTGGTTTGACATTCACGGTGACTGAGAGGGGTGCCTAAAGCCCCTGAGGTCTCCTGAGTTATAGTGCTTTTATTTAACTTGGGACACATGTGCAACATTAAGTGAATGGGTCCTTATTTGCGAGGTTTGTGTCTGTGCTACGGATACTCCAGATTTCACTGACATGTTCTTTTGGGTTAGTTACTACCATTGTATCAAGATCACTTGAACAAGATGTATATTGCCTCTTCAGTGGGCCTATTTCTGCCTAGCACATGAATCAGCCCAACAGGCCAGATGAATAGCAGTTGCCTTGGGAAAATCCGTGTCCAAAATCCTAGTCTGCTAAAAGGGAAGAAGGGCTCCTGCGAAACAAGCACCTTCAGTCTCCCTTTCAAGGTGGTTTGTGACTTTGTAACTCCCTTTTCACAGATAGCTATGCCTCACCAGTGGCTGGAGGGCAATCTGCCGGTCAGTGCCAAATGCGCAGTCTGCGACAAGACCTGCGGCAGCGTTTTGCGCCTGCAAGATTGGAAGTGCCTTTGGTGTAAAGCTATGGTAGGTGCAGTGGGCCACATCCAAACAGCTACGACTTTGCCAGGAGGCAAATAATGGGTTTGCCGTTATTTTTACTTTGTCATCGCATAAGCGTTCTTTGGATTGGAATAGGAACGGGCAGCTTGTACAAACTCTTGTTTCTCTGACATTAATCGTTTCTTATGACTGCCCTACTCGCCTCAGTTAATTTTTGTCCATGGATGCAACTTTTGTTCAATTACCTTAATATCTGATGCATTTTCTCTGGCTGTCTCCCAATGCTACAAGAGAGAGAGAGATTAAGGCCCTAGTTCAAAACCTGTTGGATACATTAGTGTCTTTTGCGGATAAGAGAACAAGAGGAAACGGCCACAAACTGAAGCACCAAAAGCTCCACAAGAAGTTACGGAAAAATTTCTTGACAGGCAGGGTGACAGAGCACTGGAACAGGCTGCCCAGAGAGGTTGTGGAGTCTCCTTCTCTGGAGATCTTCAAAACCAGTTTGGATGCCCCCCTGTGCCACGTGCTCTAGGTGACCCTGCGTGTGCAGGGGGGTTGGACTAGATGACCTCTAGAGGTCCCTTCCAACCTTAAGCATTCTATGATTCTATGACTGACTTTATAGGCTTTTTCTCAGCTCTGCAGTTCATACTTGGTCCAGATTGAAGCCTTTTTTGAGGAAAAGACTTTAAAGAATTAGGGTTTCAAGATAACTTAAGGTTCAGAAGCCTGCTCTGCAGGTGTGTTTATGTGTAATCTACTTGTCTTTTTTATTACTAATGATTTGCATTCATCTTTAAAAATATTGCCGTGGGCTGTGAAACTGCTCTTCTTCAATCTACTGTATATTGCTAATGGAAATTCTCTAACAGTCTAGTGTGGTTTCCCTTAAAATACAGTTTTCTCTTTGCTGGTCACTTGATTACTTCTTATGAAGTGAGAATTCAGCAGATTTTTAAAGTATTTCAGGGTGTTTTATATAGTTTTTTACTAACTGAATCTCTCTGCGCTTCACTGTGACATGTAGATGTCTGAGGCTCTGTGTCCAGGCCCTGGAAAATGTTTGGTACATCCAGAGGTGGCTTAAAACTTAGGTGAGCTCCAGCAGTTGCTGTATGAGCTTGTTGGAAGAAGCCTGTATAATATGTGGTTTGTAGAGCACAGGTCCTGCCTTTCCTGGTTCTCTGACTTGGGAGATGTGCTAGCTTTGGTGCACGTGTGTTCTCCAGAATATCCAAATGCACTGGGCAAGGTCGGAGCTATTACGCTGTGTGTGCCTGCTCTCCCCAGAAGGGCTGCTGGGAATTTGGTCCTCCTTTGCTACTGGATGGAGCTAAGTGCTTTACTTGGTCATAAGGATAGTTCATACCTGTCATAGGGGGTATCTGAAGATGAAGTGTTCCAAACTTAGCATTTGTTGAACGCGAGGCTTTGGTGATTAATGCTCAAATTTTTGTACAGTTCCACTCTTCTTCCCTCTACACTTAAATATATCGATTATATTAAATACATTAATTCATTTTTGTTACCTAGATACTATATGGCTTATACATTTTCCTAAAAATTACATCTTAGACTAGGAAAATAATTTTCTTTTTCTTTTGTAGGTTCACACTGCCTGTAAAGATCTCTATCCTCGTAAATGCCCACTTGGCCAATGTAAGGTATCCATCATACCTCCAACAGCATTAAACAGTATAGACTCTGATGGTACGTAGTACTGTGGTGTGTTCAGTGGTAGCTCTGGAGTTGTTGTGGTTAGTGAGATTTAAAATATAACTAAACAGGGCTAAAATTCCTCTACTGAACAGGTGGATGTAGTCTTCAAGTTAGAAGACTGGTTCAAGTTAGAAATGGTAGAATTTTCCATGTATCTCTTTTAGAAGAATATTTATCATCTACTGTGATTTTAAAAACATTTTTGAAAGTTCTCTCACTTGAAATTCTTCTCTGTTTTCATTAATGGCTATTGGAAACTTTTCCACTGATTGATTGACCAGAGTCTTCGGGATGAAGTGGCCTGATGCCTCCCTGGTATAGGTCACACATAGGATAAGTTCTAAAAATCTGGATAACTTTCCCCTGTGGCCCAGTAGCTACTTTAACAGGCTGAAAAGATGGAGCACTCCCACACTCTCTCTAAATATGAATATAAGCAATGTAAGAATCTGTGACATAGAAAATCTAGCAGATGTTCAAAACTCAGAAGTGCTCGTTGGTGGCTCAGAATAGAGATGAGTTGTAGGAGCAGTGGGAGTCTGTATGTGAGGTCATGGAGTTAATAAGGGGTGTCATGAAATCTGATTGCTTTAATTTTTAGTTTATGATGGTGGCAAATGTAGACCAACAACTTTAGCACAATGCAGTGACTTTAATCCTGTGAAATTACTAGAAGTGATTGTTTATACTGTACATATTCACTCTTTTATGTTCACTTCTTATTTAATGTCTCAGACCAGAGCGTCATACTGCTGCTATTTATTATTCATGCTGATTGTTCCATATGTGCATTTATATTTCTTGGCAGTTAAGTAAATAAATAACCAAACCTCATTTTAAATTATGCATTATGATAATGTGCAACTATATTAGCATTCCTAGGTTTGTAATCTTATCTTTTTAATTTAATAGAAGTTCTTGCTTTGTTATTTGTTTTAGGCAAGATATAGTTAATATTGTCTGAAATGTCAAAACCTATACCCATGATGTCTGATTTTGAAACGGTGCTGAAAATCCACATCTTTCACAGAGTAGTAATGTTAGTGAGAATGGTGTCCCTTAGTACTCCTTATGAAGGGCCTTACTGAAAGCCTGCTGTAATCAGCTGAGAGACCTGCATTGACTTTAAATTAATCTTTAATCACAACCAAAGGTCTGGTGATCAGTAATTCCATTATAATTAATAGTATAATTTCAGTCTGAAATAAAAGTTCTCATGCAAAGTCTCAGCTCGGAACAGTTGAATCCAGTAACTTCTAAAATTTATGAGTATTCTTAGAAAGCTCATACAGACTTGGATGATCTAGTTCAACCAGGCCAGATTAAAAAGAAATGAAATAAAATACGAAAACTTGTAACTATGTAAAACATTATGTTATAATCTGTCAAGAGAGATTTGAAAAGTATTCTAGAAAGTTATCTTTTTCACCGTGAAGAAAACAATAAAGCTATTGTCTTCAGGATTTTACTAAATCTAGGCGTCGGAAATGCCTAAAGAAAAAAAAAAATGAATGGGTGAATATTGAGCAATGATGTTTTTTCCTTAGTAGGACTAATACTGAGTTTAGCATTTACATTATGCATGATAAGATGTACTCCTTTTGTCCTTCATTCTTTTCCTCCTCTTTCTCATGATTTCTTTTTGTGTTGTTCATATTAGAAAGCCTTATTTATTTCATTCTTTCTAACTATGTTCACAGGTTTCTGGAAAGCCACATGCCCGCCATCCTGTGCCAGCCCTCTTTTAGTTTTTGTTAACTCAAAGAGTGGAGACAATCAGGGAGTAAAGTTTCTTCGTCGATTCAAACAGTCGTTAAATCCAGCTCAGGTGTTCGATTTAATGAATGGAGGACCTCACTTAGGGTAATGACTTTGGAAATCTTGAGCAATCCTTTCTACAAGGGAATTTAGTGCAAAATATAGTATTGTGCTGTCTCCTTTTTTTATAATTCCATCACCAGTATTTAGCATGTGACCTTGTATTTAAAATCTGCAATAGCTAACGGAATTTAATATGAACTCTGGTGGGCAAAGTGATGGTGAGACAATGTTTTCTTTTTAGGAATATTCATTTGAAGATTCAAAACCAAAAATCTCAGCAGTCCAATTTTTTCAGTCCTTTTTTTTTGTGTGGCTAATTAACTAACTTTAAATTATATTAACTGGAAGGCTTCAAAATGATTGAATGTGTTTAAATACCTTCCATAAGCAGGGCCTTTATGCACAGTTGTCTGGATTTTTTTTCTGTCATCTCAGATGTGTAGTGATTCCTGTGACTTCATCATGAATAACTAGCTAAAGAAAAACCTGTTAGTCTCAATATCTATTAATAAAAAAGTAACTTTTTTATTTCCAAACACAAGTGTCAGTTGAGGATGCCACAACCAGCAGCTGGCTAGTGCGCAGTCACTGGAGACCTGCAGTCGAAGTCTTTTTTAGGTGACATAGGCAAAGCGCTATGAAGATGAGCATCCCACAGGATCTGGAGCAAATCCATCGTTAAAGCCGTCAGGCACTCTCCAAAGTCGCGAGGTTGCCTGTTGGAGAGAGAGGGGTGGAATCTGCATAGCAATTGCCTCTACACAAGCATCCTGTGGATTCATAAAGAATAATTGGTGCATATTTTTCTATTTGGGTTCTCTTAATTTGGTTCCTCTCATCTGTAGTCATTAGTTAAATGGCCTATTAATATCAGTGACAGCAAATGGAAATACTAATTCTTGTGTTCTTAAAGACGCAGAACGATGCTTGCATGATAAAAATATAGACGACACAAATGCAGAACACCTAACTTCAAATAGTGGACAAATCGTAAAAATACAGTGGAAAAAGTGAAAAATACAGCTGTTGAATTTTATAATTAGTGCTGCATTATAGATATATTAGCTACTTAAGTTGTAGCTTTTCTTTTCCGTATAACTCTGGTTTAAATCCTACTTTAGTCTAAGTCCCTTCCAGCTAACATTTGGTACATGCAATTCTAACAATAAAATATATACAAGGAAGAGAGATAATTTTTGAGAGAAGAAGAATGTGTCTTCCTGCTTGCAGATTTTTTTGCTTTATATAGAGTCTCAAACAGCAGCGTAGTTCAGGAGGTTCACTGTGGTTTCTGTGCAATAACTGTACGTCTTCGTGGTTGCTTTTGTCTATTTTTTCTCAGTGTTTTCCAAAGAGAGGTCCTTACTAGTTGTTCTATCAGGTAGCGCGGATGTCTTCTTTCTAGATCAGAAAAGCACAGTCACATTCCGTGAGGGAGTGTATTACTAAAGGGAATCTTCTCCCTTTACTCAGAGGAGCAGAAATTGATGTGGAATCAACATTTTTTCCTTCTCTGCCTGCCTCAGGTGTTCTGAATAGGTATCTGCCTATCATATATAAGTGCCATTATTTTCTTTAGAAAAAGAAAAATGCTTCAAATGTTTGTGGTATTAATATAATGCTTTTAGAATTAGTCCTGAGATGATACATATTCTGGAAAATAACATGCACTAAAATAAATATATCTGTTTTTATAATTAAAAAAAAATCTATTTTTACAATTTTAAGAATTAACATTCTCTACATGTTTATTTCCATGTTGTTTTTTCTGTATCTATCTTGCCTGTTTCTTCACATTTCATTCCTCTTTCCTCTTTGTCTCAACTCTCTGTTTTGTCTCTCTCATCCTGCTTTCTCTGCTGCTGTGGTGTTGTAGCTGTTAATACTTAGAGAAGGAGGAGCCATTGGAAGTGAGAACAGGATACTCCTTAAGGATCTCATATGAAACAGAGCATTATGTGTTTTATGTTGTTGTAATCACTTGATACGTAATTGTTGCCTGCAGCTGTCCATGCATTTCACAAGTCGCAGAAGGCTACGCTGCCACCCACACTGTGGAGCACATCTTGTTGTCATGTCTTAACCTTGTCCTAGTGATCACAGTGGTACCTTATGCTTCCGACTTCAGTAAGAAGCATAGAGCAGTTGAGACTTCATAGCTTAGAAAAATACATATTTTAAATAACAATAATAATAAAATCCTGAAAACAATATGTGATATATCAGGGGAAAAAAAATCCCTGCATGTTATTTATCAGAAATGTCAGTGTAAGTGGAATGTGCAGCAATAGGTACGATGCAGATATAGGTTTATTTTCTTATTAAGTTGTACCCACATGCTTCAGAGCCATCATGAACCATCATGAAAGGTATTGTATACCATATTTCATGTAGTGTTTGCTGGAGAGCTTAGGCACTAACTGGTCATATTTTCTCTCCAGTTTACGCTTATTTCAGAAGTTTGACAACTTCCGGATTCTTGTGTGTGGCGGAGATGGAAGTGTTGGTTGGGTGCTGTCCGAAATCGATAAACTCAGCTTGCACAAACAGGCAAGTGTGTACGCTGGCTTTCTTTGACTTGGTTCTTTGTCATATATCTACTGGTAGAAGTAGAGCCAAACTCAACACTTACTTGAATTTAAATTTTCGTTTGACAGTAAATGTGATAGATTCTATTGGGACTATGCAACTTGATCTACAACCTTTAGACATCAGCTATAAAGCCAACATTTCTTGCTTGAAATGATAATAATTTGTAATAGTTTATACATTTTCTTTCTAATTTTCAGTAATAGATTTCCTCTTATGCTGTTTTTCAGTGTCAATTAGGAGTGTTACCCCTTGGTACTGGGAATGATCTTGCTCGTGTCCTTGGTTGGGGAGGATCCTGTGATGACGACACACAACTTCCTCAGATCTTGGAAAAATTAGAACGAGCCAGCACAAAAATGTTAGACAGGTAAATGTAGATGTGTGTATTTATCCCAAGACTGAAATTTTACGTTTGGGTTATTGATGGCCTAAATCTATCGCAGAAATATTGAGTGGTTTTGTTTTTTACAAGAGGTTAAAATGGTATGGGGTACAGACTGTAACCATCTGTGAAGTGAAGGTGGCAAACCAGGGACAGCTCTTCAGGGTCCTGCCTCAAGTGCAGTCTCAGAGGGGAGAACATCAGGTGAACCCAGCAAGTGTTCACCAAAAGTGAGCAAAGTCAGTAGTTTTTTATGTGACTGATGAAGCTACAAAAGTGCCCATCACAAGAAGTTGTAAGCATTAAGAAATGGTGTGAATTCAAAACCATTTTGTTCAGCTGGACAGATGGAAATTCCTTGTGGACTGTGTGGGCTATTAGAGTTAGCATTTTTATTTAAGAAATAATTGAGCTTTGTGTCCTTGGATGTAGGAAGAAACCTCTTCAAGTGCTTTACCCTTTTTGTATTTTCTTTAGGCATCAGCTGCTGTGGATGACATGCTGGGCTAGGTGGATCTTTGGCTTGATCCAGTGCTACTATCTGAACATACTTTATGTAAAATAAACCCAGGATCAGTTGAGCTTCTCAGTTTGAGATATTTTCTTAGTCAAAACCAAATGTCATCCTACTGCCTTGTTTTGAATGATATTTGCAGGACAGATGTGTTTTCAGCACCAAAAAAAAAAGGGGGGGAAGAATCTTGGGTTTTTTTAAAGAAAAAAATCAGAGAAAATGGTGTTCTTGTCATTCTAATGAAGCTGTTCTGCTGTTTTTTGGAAGGAGGATGTATGTGTGTGCTGATATTTCTTACTCGATGTTATGTTTTCTGTCTTGAGCGGTTCTGTTCTTTCTGTAGTTACAAACACATACGCTTATATAAAAGCTAAAAACCTTTGAATCTAATGAAAGACTATTTTATTTTAGGGTGTTTTTTTGCAAAATAGTGAAGAAATTTCTTTTTTAGCTTTAAATGTGCAAAAAAAGCTTGGTGCTGATCCCTAGATATAATTGCTGGCCTGGGCATCCTGAAATATTCATAGATTGAATCATGTTTATCTTTTGTTGTATTGAAAAGAGCTCAGTGTCATTCTTCACTCTAATTTCTGAAGATTTGCTCCCAAGGCCATCTGCAGTGATTACTTGTTCTTTTCAGCAGACTTTGAAGGATGATGATATTAGCAATTTCATACAATCTAAGCTCAGGAGTATTATACTTTTCCAGGGAAAAAGAAGTATATATGCGAGTGACGATACTTCAGTGCTTGCTTTGTTCTCAGGGCTCCCTGCTCCCTAATAATCTGTTTTCATTTTACTTCTGCAGTTATTTTGCATGATGTGATTTACTTATATCATGAACATTTTGGTGGAAAAGTTTTTGTTACCTGCATTGAACATCTTTGGATTTGCTGGTGAACTGCCTACAAAAAAAAATTGAGAGAAGAACAAATTAACAAAAAAAAAAAAAAAAAAAAAAAAAAAGAGAAAGAACAAATTAATATCTTTAAACTCATGTATTTCATCTTTGTTCAGTTAACTTACAATCAAAACTTAAACTCCTTCTTTGCTTTTAAACAAGATATTCTATAATGTGACAGTGAATATTCTTTGGTTGATAATTCTGGAGAAAGGAAAACATTATAATGATCCGGGGACTTAAAAGCTATGTTATGTTTCTTTTAGGTGGAGTATAATGTCATATGAACTGAAATTACCAGTGAAGCCTTCTATTCTTCCAGTCACTGCAGAAGAAGAGTCAGAGGAATGCCAGGTGAAGCTTTTGTTGCATAGAATTAACTTTGAGCTGCTGCAATTACAATATTTAAAATATAATTAAAGCATGTGTGAAAAATAGAAAACAGGTGTTTTGTGATTTGCCAGTTGAATTTAGTCAACTTCTGCTCGTGCCATGTATATCAAATAGTTAGGTCTTCCAATTCAGTATTATTTGCCAAAAATGAATGAAGCTGAGTAGTCTCCAGCAACACAGAAAAATATTTTTCTGCAAGTGTACGTTGAAAAAGCAAAATGTCTATTACTCATTTTGAATTTGGAATGAATATTTAAAAACTTTTTTTGAAGGCAAGCTTTGGGTTCCCTCAATGAAAGAACGAAAGAGACAGAGAAGTTGTTAAGAACTTGTAAAAATGACTTATATTAGGTAGGGTTTCACTGCCTAATGCTCTTTTTGTTCTTTTGGTGAACTGAGAATCGTAGGTGGCCTGAAAGAATATTTGAGTATATCTTGCAAACTAGAATTATGCTATCTTTTGATGATTCGATATTGAGGAAGAGTAAAAGGCAAATTAATTGGTATAAAAGGTTTGATTCAAAATAACAAGGTAGTTTATTCCCGAAAAAGTCATTTCATATCAACGATAGCTTAAAAGTACTTGAGAAGCAGTTACTAGCGAGTCCTATGAAGTTCAGCAAAGGCCAGTGCAGGGTCCTGCATTTAGGGAGGTATTAACCCCCAGCACCAGGACAGGCTCAAGGCTGACCTGCTGGAGTCCTGGTGGACAACAAGGTGACCATGGCCCTTCTAGCAAGGAAGGCCAGTAGTGTCCTGGGATACAGTGGGAAGAACTTTGCTTACGTTAAAGAGGTGATCCCTGGCCTCTACTCAGCGCTGGTGAGGCCACATCTGGAGTGGCTGTGTCCAATGTTGGGCTCCCTAATACAAGAGAGACATGGAGCTACTAGAATGAGTCCAACAAAGGGTTATTGAGATGGTGAAGGGACTGGAGCATCTTCCCTGTAAGGAAAGGCTGAGATAGGTGGGATTCTTCAGCCTGGAGAAGACAAGGCTGAGTGATGAGGATCTTAGCAACGTGTGTAAGTATCTGAAGGGAGGATGTAAAGAGGGCATAGTCAAACTCTTCTCAGTGATGCCTGGTGATAGGACAGGAGGCAACAGGCACAAACTGAAATACAAGAAGTTCCATCTGAACATAAGGAAAAACTTCTTTACTGTGAGGGTGACAGAGCACTGAAGTAGTGCAGAGAGGTTGTCGAGTCTCCATCCGTGGAGATACTCATAAGCCATCTGGACATGGGCCTGGACAACATGCTCTTAGGGGACCATGCTTTTTCAGAAGGGTTGGACTACAGGATCTCCAAAGGTCCCTTCCAACCTCCGTGTTTCTGTGATGCAGACATACGAAAAGGCCAGGGCCTCCCTCCTGTAAGTCTGATGTGGTCGTTTTGCACAGAACTCTTTCTGGAGCCCACAGTGCACAACAAAACTTCATCTTCCCTGATTGTACCAGGCCGCTGCTGTGTTCAAGTGTTCCCTCTTGTCAGAATGACAAAGTCAAAACAAAACAAAGCCACACTTTGTTCTAGGTAGTTCTGCCTTTGAAATTAGGTTTATCCCTCCACAAAGTTTAATTTTAAATTCACTTGACTGTAGGTAATATATTGAAGTGCAGTTCAAAAAGTGTTTTTTCAGTTCTTTTTTTTAAACTTCTTTTTTCCTTTTATTTCTTTGAGTTTCAGGATACTGGAGCTACATTTGGTTTGGTCTCTAGAATTTTCTTTTAAAAACGCAACCTGGATCTCTGCCCATTTTGAGACAGGATATTGTGTGTGGAAATGTGATTCTGATCCATTCCAGACCTTTTCCTCAGTATCATAGTTTTTATAATTCTTCTGTGCAATAAAAGAAGGAAGATGCACACATTGATTCTCCCAAAGTCTAGTAAAGACTAATCCCCACATGGTTTCATCATAAAGTTTGGTTTTGATATGTCTGTATCAGTTTAGCAGCGTTTTTCAGTGGGAATATTTGGAGGAGGCAGACATCATTTGACAGTGTAGGAGAAAATTCAGGAACATATCCTCAAAGTTTGGTTGACTCTCAGACATCTGACTTTGAGAGAAACTTGCTTTGTTTGGAAATAAAAGACATAGATATGTCTAGGAATAAATTACTGTTTCCTCTACCAGAGGAAAGACAGTGCTGGATGAAGTTCTCAGGTTCCCTGTTGTTTTGAGTATTAAAAATGCAGTGCATAAATCACAGCATACAGGTAGAAGCTGAGTTGCCAGCTGTTTGCCTTTGGGCTGGACCTGCAGTGGAAATCCTGCTGTTTCCTGGCAGTGTTTTAACACTCTGCTTGCTGCTAAAAAGCTGAAGGATGTGGAAATTGAAGTCTTGTTTTTTGTGTTTTCAGATATCTGCTTATGAAGATTCAGTTGCTACTCATCTTGCAAAAATCCTCAATTCTGATCAGCACTCAGTTGTCATATCGTCTGCCAAGTGAGTTAATGGTTGTTACGTACGATGTGTAGGATAAACCGCCTGTGTAACATCACTCTTTATGACCATAATATTCTTCTTTGTAAGCTTGAATTTCTTATGACTGGCCCAGCTGGCTTGACTTAATATAGCCTCATATGTACCTTACAGAGTGGATTTTTTTTCTGTAGAAATATCGTATGATAAAACTGCAGTGGATGTCTTAATACCAAGCATGGGAACATTTTTTAAAAATGTATTAATATAATGTGATTTTAAATCACTCAAAATCTGGTTTAAATATGAAATGTACATTTAGTACTGTGAAAATGTGATCTATTACAATTTTTATGCTCTGTTTTGCTCCTACCATATCAGTAAGAGAAAAAACTTCTTTCCCAGTGCAAATGAGCATTCCAGCTGTGTAGTTCTGCAGTAGCTCTGTGTCTATCAACTAAAACATTGTGGTCTTTGAGAAGAGACTTCTTTTTTTCAAACTGAAACACTTAAAAATGATGGGTAGATACTCTAGAAATCATAAAATTCAGCCAAAGTCAGAAGTATTCTACTTATACTTTCTCTGTGCATTTTTTTTTATGACTGATCATGGAATCAATAATATATGTGACTGTCTTTACATCTCTTTTTCTGTTACATTAATAAAATATATTTTTTAAGACGCACATACTACATGCTGAAAGCTGAACTGTGGAATATTTCTCTAACTCCAGATTTTAGATGGTGTCTGTATCTTCCTAAATCTCACTGTTTAGTTCCTGTAAAATAAGTTTAAACCAGATGAATGCTACTAACCAGTTGTTCACACCTTATTACAGAGTTCCTCTGCTGAGTAGGCAATAAGCACCACATTTTTCTCTGACTTCTACACACTGAGAATTCATTTCAGCCACTGTAGTTTGTGTAGAGATTCCTCAGGGCTGCCTGTAATGGGATCCATGTGGACATAGGCTTTCACCTAAGAATTGCTCCATTGAAGTCTGTAGATCCTCTCTCTGGATTGTAGGGTCCACCTTTACATGTGAGGTTGCATTTGAAGTTAATAAAGTTTATCATTCTGATATGGGAAGGTATGCAAGCATTGGAAGGATTAAGTAAAACAGGAGAAAAATGGTTTCATTTAAAGCTTGTCTGCTGAATTTTACAAGCCACGGAGAGTATCATCTACTTCATAAACACAATCACAGAGTTCCCTTTACAACAAAAACGCTATATAGTAATGAGCAGGTGAATCGATGGACATAACTTAATCAGTTGCTCATCCACATACATTTATGTAAAGTATGTTGTCAAAACTCAGGATTTTTTTTAATCCCTAGTATTTTGGGGTAGTATTGGATCTACTTTAAGTAAAAACCCTAAAAACATGTTAATATTTTTAATAAAATCAGTGCAGAAATTTAATATTCAAATGTATCTATTTTACTTAATTTGATTTCTTCCCTCTGTTTTTATCTGAAGAATATTATGTGAAACTGTAAAGGACTTTGTTGCCAAAGTAGGGAAGACTTATGAAAAACCAATGGAAAATGCAGAAGAAGCTGATACCATGGCCACTAAAGTAAGATTATGATTATTTGGGGGATTAATTATCCTTTTAAGTGTATAGCTTTTGGGTTTTTAATTTTCAGATAGCTCGTGGTTGCCTACTTTGGTTTATTTTTGGGTCTATGACTTTAAAATGCTTCTCTTCTTAGTAGATAGAGCTGTTATTTCCAAAATATATTTAACAACTTTAAACAACTCCGTGTAAACTCTGTTTATACTGAGTAGTGCTTTCTCTTCTTTCTTCCTTCATATCGGATAAAGCCTACAGGATAAAAATACATAGGGATAGACAGAAATATTTTCCAATGGGAGTTGTACTTTCCTCTAAAACGAATTATGTTAGCTACCGGAAACCCAAGGGATAATGAACAGAGAATATGTTGGGAAAATGATCATAATATAATGTTAAAAATAATGGATTAGACTGCAAATTGTAGAGATCACGTTACAGAATCAGTTAAAAAAACAGAGGGATCTGGTTTAAGGCACAAAACCTACATGAACTGAAAAAAGAAAAAAGAAGAAAAAACACTATAACAATCCCAGGGTCAAAAAATGTTCCTACTAGGTGGCAATTCTTTTGTGATTCGTGTTTCTTTGCTATTCAGTGTACGTTTTGGAATTTTTTTTTTTTTTGCACTTTGAGGGAAAGTATTGCCGGTTTCTTTTCCCTCAAGCGCAGTAAATCTCGTCTTTTCCGGCATACTTGGAAAGAGCAACTGTGTAGCCAGGGTTAGAGGTGTCAGCCGTGTTCGGTTCTGGCTTGACCCTATTTGCTCTGAGAGCTGACATTTGCTTAAATGTACAGGTGTGTGGCCAAAAAAAATATCCTTAGTTCTCAGTTGTGCAGCTGGCCATTTGCCCATAGGTTAGTCCTCTAAATGGGGATATTGAGTGCCCATAGTTTGTTTTAATGCACGCTGTAGGCAAATCGGTGGTGATTCTGACTGTGCTGCAAACCATCCGAAAAAGGAGCAGGGTCTGATCTGCACCCTCGCTGTGTGGCAGGCTGGGTTTATCGCGGTGTATTATTTTAGTCTGAGTATTGCTTTTGGGGTGTGATTGCTCCAGGCTGGTTGGGTGTCACAAGGTCTGTCTGCAAAAAGCCACACAGACCTGCTCATAACTTAATATTACAAAGTGGTAAATCGGGACAGTTTTAAATCCTCCCTCAGGGAGACTTGAGAACCCTCCATGTAATTTCCCCCAAATTTGCCTAAAATGTTTGCTGTTTTTTTTTGTTTTGTTTTGTGTGTGTCTGTGTGTATGTGTGTTCTATTCCACTCCCTTTGCAATGCACTGTCTCAGTGTACAGAGTTAAATGAGAAGCTAGACCTATTGCTCCAAGCCCTCCACTCCGAAGCCCAGGCTGCTCCCATTCTCCCAGGCATCGCTCCTCCCATCGTGGAAGAAGAAGGCGAGGAGTTTTCCAGTGAAGAATCCTTGTCTGAAAGCAAAGAGCAATTAGCAGAGTGTGTTGCAAAGTCTTCCACCCAGAAACTCTTCAAACCAAGAGAACAGCTCATGCTACGGGCAAACAGTTTAAAGAAGGCGGTCAGACAGATCATTGAACAAGCAGAAAAAGGTGCTCGTCAGCCACATCTTGTTCCTCACTGATAGAGTAATGATGATAACGATTTTTTTTTAAACTAACATAAGTTCTCAATTAAGTTTGGTTTCTACATTCTCATGCAGATAAAATTGAATGCTTGTTACAAAATGCAAGGAAAAGAAGTACTGCTTGCTTGGATGCTGCTGACTGTATGCAGTATGGGTACACACACACTCTCGTGCCTGCCTGTGAATGTGCACAAATGTGTTTCTTTAATAACTACATCCCTGCACAAATTGAAAATTTCTGGCAGTAAATCCTTGTCAGCACACAAAGGGTGCTAGGCTCCTCTTCACTGAGTTGTCAACAGAAACTCTTTGTTAGTGTTTGTAATCTTGAAATGAAAGCTGTAGAAACAAGAAGCTTATTTTCAATTTATGTAGATTTTTCTTTAAAATATTTGATTCTTTTTTTAATAAGCAGTAGTGGATGAGCAGAATGCTCACAGTGAAGAACAAGTGAACCAGTCCCCAGTGGAATATAGCAAAGAATTGGATGAATCAAAAGAAGAGGAGAAGGAGGAAGATACGAAGGAATTTGAGTCCCAGTCAGGTGAGTATTTTAGAAACAAAATAATTTAAATGTATGTTTTTATGAAACAAACCTTATTGCCCCTATGCTTAAAACGGTTAGGTTATTTCTGCTTTTTATACCATATACTTGTTGGAAAAAATCTTTCTGCATCCAGTTTCTTCTGCATTTCTGGCAGTTGCAACCCCTTGTACTACATGTGCTGGAACAAGGCGTGAAAGCTTAATGCTTTGATTCTCTACTTTCTAATTAGTCTGATAGTATGTTTTTCCATGAAGATATTATTTGCAAAGTACTGGAGTGTTGTTTAAGTAGAAATTATTCACAGATTTCAATAGAATTGGCTAAATAAAGTGGTGGAAAAATGCCAGGGATAAGATGAACATACTTTTGGAATAGATGTATGAGGCTGAAAAGGCATTTTTCCGGAAAGAAGTCCCCGTTTATTCCAGTCCTGAGCAGGGAATAGAATAGATAATAGAGTGATAGCGTGCCTCAGCCACAAGTTCTGTCAGCCATTTCTGTTTAGACTATTTAACTTCATATAAAACAGACATATTCATTCATTCATTCAACATCAGAATGAAATTCTGATGTTTCCTTTGGGAGCTTACTTTGAGACAGAGTTGTTGGAACTGAGACGGAATGGATATTTAAGGGTTTTATATGAACCGGAGCAACTTAAAGCAGGAAAGTATATAGTAGACATTGGAGCATGGGCTTCTCTTGAGAAGTGGCAAGACTGAGTTCAGTCTCGCTTTTTGCCTAATTTAGAGCAGAGATTTGAACCAAAGTCTTAAATACATAGTATTTGTGCAGCTAATATTATTGCAGAGTTGCTTGGGCTTTAGACAATTTGGAATGGAGTCCTTTAAAATTAACAGTACAGCTGCTATAGTCATTCAATTTGGGTTGGAAAATTAAAAAGAAATGTTAGTATGGAAAGCTGTTCCTGCCATCTGTTGAGCTGTACCAGGTCTAAGGCTAGATATGGGTGCTAAAAGGTATTTTAAGTTATAACAAGTTAAGAATTCTATTCCATTTTTATTAATTGTTCGATTATTGTCTGGATGCCTTTAGAGAAGCAGATTTGTCAATACAACTATTCATACAATCATGTGTTAGAATACCCCATTTGCAAAATACTAGATGAATTTAACTAAATTAAATCATTGAGAAGTGGACAGGCCAAAGAATCGAGATGACGAAGAAAAATAACATGATCTTGTTATTTTTTCTAGCTACTTAAGCAGTCAAAGCCCAGATCTGAACATTAGAGCATTCTTTGAGGTAGAAAATCACTGCCAGAGTTACTAGGGTTTCTTCCAATGGCAACAATGGTTGTCCCAAAGAAACATCAAGCTGGCTCCTCAACAGCTGTTGGCTGCTATACAGCAAGCCATATAGTAAGTCACTATAGGACCTATACTTGATTTCCAAGCTGCAGAGCCCTGTACTAGCTCTGTCCGTGGTTGGATCCACTTCATCAGCTGCTGCTGTCCAACTGTTCCTGCTCTCCCCCAGGAGCATCGTTTGGTCCTCACGGCGGGGTTTTGCAGGTTACGTTCCCAAAAAGGAGGACTGTATTTCTGGGTAGGTGGCATAGGTTAGTTTTGAAAATGCAGCAGAAATAATACAGTTGTGTTATTTGTGTCATTCACTGTAATGAAGCAATCAGAATAGTGAGTGATTTGAGTTTGAAACACCTTTCTTGGAAAGTAGCCTTTTCGTAAAGTGATAACCCATTTTGTTGCTAAGCTTTCTTTTGGGGTACTGAATATTTCGTGACTGAGCTTAAAATAGTATTTATATAAGAGTGTTCTTCACTTATCTCCTGAAATAGCACAGTGCCAATTCCCACATTTAAATTATGGGGTAAATTCCTCTTTCGTGTGTCCTTTATGAAAACTGCCCATGACTGGCTGCAAGGTCAGGTCTGTAGGAGACCCTCACTTACCTTTCCTGCCTGTTTGGCTTGGGGCACTCCAGCCAGATGTGGTTTTGGCCATTTCTCGTGACAGGCTTCAGTGTGGTGCTCTGCACTGGCTCGTAGTTGCTGTGGCTGGGTTATTCCAGAGAACAAAGTTGCACACTGGTTTTAGGAGTGCTGTTAGGTACTGCAGGTGGAAATTTCAGTCTTTGCCACATTACCAGAGTGGGCCCCAAGAGAAAATCTGAATCGTGGAGAGGCAGCAGTGGAAAGTGGACAGCAAAGGGCGGTGTCTAGATCCCCAGCAAGGCCCTGCCTTTGGCAGAAATGAGTTATCACCAGGATTGTTTGGATTTGCATCTCCTCCTGCTCCACTAGCTCTAACTGAGGTCTTCAGGGAACATCGTCCACTTGAGGCTCTGCACTGAATCCACTATCTGTGTCAATAGCTCCTTGCTTAAACATAGGTCATTAGTTTCTTGAGGTTTCTGTTTATTCAGGATCTCACATTTCCTTTTGCCCTATAATGAATTCCAGACTTTTTTTGTCTCTTTTCTTGTCTCTTGCTTGGCATCTCCCTGTTTATATTAGTTATAGGAATCCGTGCTTGTTGCTTGTTCACTTTCAACAGGAGCTTGTGGAGGACACCAGCTCTGTGGCCATGGTGAATGAGCTTTTTCTATTGTTGTAAAAGGACATACATATAAATATACAGACATACATATATATTTGTATATGCACATACTTTTACATACGGTTTTACAAAGCCCTTGTTTTTGGTGATGTTGTTTCTGTGCTTGTTAGGTGTGTTGTTCGTCCTGAAATACGGGAAATGGAGTGCATATTAAAGTGATCAGTGGGAGATAGGTGTTTAGGGAGAAAACATGAAACATGAATTCAATTAACTGCAATGAAACAACAGTTTTACTCATTAGGGCTCTGTTGTTTTTATCGGAGCATGAACAGCAAAAGTTTATCTTTATTGCAGTTATTCCCAAGAGTCTCATCTGTCAGATAAAGAGCAGCTGCTCTGTTGATTTTCCTATTTAATATAACTGCTTTGTTCCCCAGTACGGAGAGAACAAACTGTGTGAATAGCACTGTGAATTTTTTAGTAGCATTATGAAAAATGGAAGGTAATTGTGTTCTGAATATTATATTTAATCCTCTGAGAGTTTTCCCTGGTCGTTTGATGAAGGTAATATTTTCCATATGTTAATTACCTTCATCTAAATATTTAATAACTCTTGTTAGATATCATTTGCCGTTTTTATTTCTTTTTATTTCTTAACATTGTAAGTCCATGCTGGTCATATACATAGACAAATCACTGTGTTGCGTTGATACCACATGATACTGCATTTTATGGTAGTTGTTAATGCTAGTTTACAGTCAGAGGAGGTATTAGGTCGTTTACTCAAACTTGCCATATAACAGTTCAGAAAATTTCACCCACTTGTTCCTGTCATGAATCTAACAATTTCTGTTTGATTTAAGCAAGTCATACAGAACGGCCCGTAGTCTTATTCCTGAGACACAAGGAGAAGAAGAATTCACCATTTCACTGACTAGTCCATGATAAATTGTCAGCATTCAAAAAGTGTATACCCAAATCCTAGCTTGATGTGGATAAGGATGCTAGAATTCTGTGTGAATGTTTGATTGACTTGTCTGGTTTTTGTCAGGTTCAGAAACCTGATGCAGGCAGATCCATTGTAGCTGCTTAAAACAAATGCTATAACTGTTGATCGAGTATTGCCATGGCTTAATTTGGGCTTGAGTTCTAATGGTTATCTATATTAAAATTGGTATAAATAATAATGAGCTGTGTAAGGTAGGTGTATTTATGGATAAATATACATTGAATTTAGGCTTAAATTCTTATTATTTCATTAACATTTCTTCTTTAATGATGATTGATCTTTTGAAGTGCATGGTCATTTTTTTGTGAAACCTATTGTTATGGTTATCGTAAAGTTCCTGCAGTATTAAATACTATAAGCTTTTAAGGCTGATATGATTTAATTTTTGTTAGCAGCTAGAAGCAGAAGTTGGGAACTCCTCATGTTGAATTCCTTGTGTACCCATGTGTTCTTATTTTTGCTTGTCACCTGATCTTTCTGTTTGTGAGTTTCCTTCCCTATTTTTAGAAGGAGTGGTGTGAGGGAAAAAGATATTTCTCACCGAAGAATGACAGATTAATTTTGACAGAAATATTTTGTGGGCTATGAAGATATGCATTTGGCAATGCGCTGATAAATCTTATGGTTTCTTCTTCTGCCCAGTTAAAACTGCACCAAGATCCCCAGATCGGCGTGCAAGTCGAGGTATCCATTCTCAGACAGGCTCCTTCTCTGCTCCAGCTTTGGCTGCTAGCAAGGAAAACCTCCCTGTGCTTAACACGAGGATTATATGCCCAGGTAACCATGATTTTGAAGTCTGCTGTTCCTTACACAGTTTGAAAGTTGCTTCCCGTCCCCTGTTTCCTGTCAAGTAACAATTTTTGCCTTTTACTTTCCCCAGGCTTTGCCTGGAAGTGCTACAGAAGTTTCTGAATGTAGGTGAACTGGTGTACACGTCTTTTTGTTCTATCACATTGTAGGAAATGGGAGTAATATAGAATGTTCCTGAATGTTTGCCACAGCACCAGATATGCCGCAGAAGTGTTGCATTTGATTCTGGAGAAGGGAAAACAAAATTCTGGATGTTCTGTGGTTCATCCTAATACATGGAGCCTGTTAAGAGCCTGAAGGACAGGCTTGTGTCAGAATCAACCCTCTGAATAAGAGCTGTCCATAAATACCTCTCCAGAAGAGTATAACTGAAACATTCATTTTTACAGCCTCTCTTGGACCAGGCCTACCTACCTGTTTACTTTGTTCCAGTATTTTTTTTTCCATTCCTCTCGTTTCATGTTTATTTTCTCTACTTTTTTCTAGTCTTGCCTTGGTTTCTATCCCTCCCTCCTTTCTAATGAAGACATCAAGTGGTGGCTTCTGCATATCTTTAATGAGAGAAGAACTTCCTCCTCAGCTTATCAAACTAAATATTCAACTGAAGGATAGCTGATGGTTACAAAACCATCCACATGAATGTTGATCTATGATAGTGGCCTTCCCCTGTGTTAGACCAATGGAAAAAAAACGTAAAAGTTTGGAGAGAAAAATAAGACTGAGTTAAAATAGGTTAATTATCTTTTTGGACATTAGGTGATCCACTTGATTTCTGTGGCAACCAGTCACTGCTGACCTGAAATCCTGAACTTCCTTTTCTTTCCTTTTATTTTCTTTTTTTCCAGTGTGGTGTCTGAAGAGTTAATCACCTCAGCTCGCCTTAGCTTGCTTTCTGTACAAAAGAGACAGAGGCCAGAGACCTGAAAAGATAAGCAATGTAGGCAAAAGTTGAGATGGAAACAGAATCACTCAATGTATGGATCAATGCCGTTGTCTCTCAGAATGATGCTACTCACAAGAGTCAATGTTTTTCTCTTTATCAAATGAAAATTGTTATTTCTTTCTGTTTCTTACCAGGTTTAAGGGCTGGATTAGCTGCTTCTATTGCAGGAAGTTCAATCATTAGTAAAATGTTATTAGCAAATATCGATCCATTTGGTGCTACACCGTTTATTGACCCGGATCCAGATTCACTGTAAGAATTGTTTCTCGTGTATCTACTGTATATTTTTTTAACAATTCCTAAACTGCTTTAGCTTCCCTTAACCTCTTTTTCATCATGTTATCATTTGAATGACTTAAGATAAATTCACAGCTTTCTTAGGCAGTAGACCTCGATGTCTGAAAATAGATTGCATCGTGCCAGCTTAGCATAGGCCCTAAGTGAGATATAATGCAGAGTGGTGTTGCAGCAGCAGAAATTATTTGCTAACCTCCCCCTTGCCTACTATTTCTGAGAGGAGGAGGAAGGGAGGGCAGTACTTGAAAGTCGGTTTTTCCTTTTGAACTGCTGTGCTGAACAGCAAGGCGCTGAAGCGAGGTTCAAACTCTCCCCAGGAGGTAGTGCAGGAGGATCAAGGGTGTCGCCTGAGTGGTGCCGTGAGGTGGAGGGGAGCAAATTTTCAGTGGATTTCCAGAACCTGGTGTAGTGTTGGCAGAGAGATGGTAGCTGGGTGGTGGACCACTGCCCTCGAGGTCTGAAGTACCCTAAAGCAAAGCATTAACATACAGAGAGCATTGGCTGTCCCCGTATTTTAGTGTCAGAACTCTGTATTTTGGGTTTGGTTGAGATACTGCGAGGATGGGAAGTGCTGCTGCTGCTTCTGTGTCCCGCAGAGAGGAGCTCCCACTGGTGAAGGCCTGGCAGACAACCCATCTCTTCAACTGCTGTTGTGTTTCTGTGGAAAGATGCAACAGGAACACCTCATGCCATGTTTTGTTGATGTTCTGAGACCAGCCTCAGTCTTGGTCAAAGCTGTGTATGTCCCGTACTGTACAAATGCACACATAATGACCACTTTTCTTCTAACAGGGAGGGATATTCAGAAAAATGTGTCATGAACAACTACTTTGGAATTGGATTAGATGCAAAAATTTCACTTGAATTTAATAACAAGAGAGAAGAGCATCCTGAAAAGTGCAGGTAATAGGATTATTAGAAGCAGAGACAAGATATATTCATAATGTTAATTTTCTTATCCCTTTATTTGAAGTCCTTACCTTTTTCATCACCCTAAAAAAGAAGAAATAATAATCTGTGTATTTTAGTATGTAAATCTTATCTGTTTTCAGAAGTCGGACAAAAAACATGATGTGGTATGGAGTCCTTGGCACAAAAGAGTTACTGCAGAGGACTTACAAGAACTTAGAACAAAAAGTTCAACTCGAGGTATTTTTTATTTATAACTTAATGAGTTGGGGGCTTTTTTATTTTTGGCTTCTGCAACATATAGTTCAGAATTTTGGGTTCCTTTTGAAACCATTTAGCATTCTGTGTCACCTCAAGCCAAAAGAATTTTGGTTTTTTAGTGTTGTTTCTTTTATAATTAATATAGCAGGATGTTTCTTAGTATTCACTACACTGAAGGGCAAGACCAGATTTTAAGAACAAGAATCGAAGCATGCATGTATTAATATACTAAACAGAGCAAAGAGAGAAAGTGTCCTTAGGAAAGAGAGAAAGTGTCCTTATCCTTCAGGCTCAGTTTAAGGCATTTGAAAGCTTGATTATACCTATACCAAAAGGACACAGAAGGTTTCACAGGAAAAAGCAGAGGACAGCTTCTCAGTGTGCATCCGTAAGTCCAGTTACTTCTGTAAGGACTTTCTCAAACATGTATTTGAGACAGCCATACAGGTTAGTAAGGTATCACAGCAACAACAGATGCAATGTAAATTATCTAAACATGGTTCTTTTAAATTTCCAAATCAAATATAAAACCTCCTTACACTACTAGGAAGTTAAAGGCAATATAAATGGTTATCAAATGTAGGAAAAGGTCATGGGGTAATTACAGTTGTTTTCACCCAAGGTTGGAATTTGACAGAAAGTATTCCTTTCTTTTCTTTTTTCTAATATCAAATATTTCATATGGAACTTTATGATATTTATATGATGATACTTTTCAAATTGAGAGAATAATTTTAATTTATTGCAACTCTCTTCACTGAGCTTTAGCAGGGTTTAGTAAATAGATGCAGATTGCTGTTATCTAAGGACTGAGTAATTATCAAGGAATTATGCAGTAGCTAGTGAATATAATGACAGGAAAGAACATTATGTATGGTGCAGATAGATTTCTAATTTAAGGATCTTTTGAATAAGATTCAAATAAGATTCAATAAGGCATTCAAATCTGACCTTTCCATAATTATTTTTGAATATTTCTGGAAGTAAACCAGCAAGCAGAGATCTCATATTCAGTATTGCATTGCATAATATCAGCCTTATGCTAAAACCTGTGATTAGGTGCACAGCGTTGGGAAATTAAAATTATTAATATCAGGAATTAGGGGCAAAGCTCTATAATACAAATGGCTGTGCAGCATCTATTAATCTCACAGAACATTTTGGATGCTATCAGATTTTGATTAAAATGTTAAATGATGTCTTGCTGCTGAGATAAAAAATCAGAATATTGAGTACGTTTCTGAAAATATCTTGCAACTCTTTCTGCTCCGCATTACCAAAGTGTTTTTTGCATGGTATGTATGTATAGTGACATATGTGTATGTACATACAATGTGTTTGTAAGTATATGGCTATTAGGTGATCATGCTGAGTAGCACTTGAAGTTGCTTGTGTTTTTTGGAGGATCAAAGAGGGACTAAAGGACAAGAGGACATAGGACCTACCTCTTGTCTGCAAAATCAGCAACTTCCAGCCATAACCTGAGTAACAACTGTGGCTTTTGTTCTAGATTTGCTTTTGTTCTTTTGGGATGAGAGTGAATTATTTTTACATGAAGCCTAGTATACAAATGCTAACAAAGTACATATTTAACTTCATGTTTTTGACTGTGCCAGAAACATTCTTGGCTTTAGTGGGGTTTTTTATTATTATTGTTTTTTTTTTTTTCCCCCCAATTGATAGACTTATCCGAGTAACAAGCGCATTTCAATTCTGGGAATGCAACTATAGGATGGGAGTCCAATTATAATGTCCATGGTCATCCTACTGTTTAAACTCAGTGATACAGCTTTTCTCATTGCAAAAAAAAAATCCTAATTCATGTTAGATAGTGTGTGAGAAATTTCACAATCAGGGATGTGAAAATGTGTCTCTGAAGAGATGTGTAACACTTCTGCTCTAAGTACTAGTGTTTTGTCATCTCTATAAAAATTGGTGCTGAGCTTGAGAAGAAGAGGTTTGTATCAGAGCTGCCTCACAGTGTGGGTGGAATGAGCTTGTGCCAACCTCTTAATGACTCTGTTCTCCCCTGCTGGCTCCGACGAAGCTGCAGATATTAAAAATGGTTGATTACTTTTGCTGCACTCCTCTGCACTGACTGAACTTTATCCATTACAGTGTGACGGACAGTACATCCCCCTTCCAAGTCTGCAGGGTATAGCTGTGCTAAACATTCCCAGCTACGCCGGTGGGACCAACTTCTGGGGTGGAACCAAAGAAGATGATGTGAGTAGCGCTAAAGAAAAGTGACCTTATGAGCAGAGCCGGCAACAGATTCCATGTCGGCTAACATGGAATAACTCATTAAACTCATTATTAAACTCAGAACTCTCCTTCAAATTAGATTGTGGTTCTCATGTAGATTATCCAGGATATCTGTCACCAAAATGCTTTTGTTTTCTTGTATTTTTTCTGTCTTTGTAAAGATACAGATATATCTGTTTATATATGTGTATGCTTATATGTATATATACACATACCACACAAAAAATGTAAACAAGTCTTGATGTCCTTTTCTTATTGTTATAATATGTCAGAGCCTGGCAGCTATGTTTATATTTGGCTAGGAATATCTAACATTTTGATATTCTCCATGTTCGCATTCACAGCTTGAATCTCTTGCATCTCTTGTGTCTGCCCAACTCCCATTCAGGTGTTTATTTTTCTCCCTGGGCCCCCTCACAGAAAGAGAAGATATGTCCTAGCTGTCGTAGTGATATACAGCAAGCCTGAATTCCTTGGAGTGATTCCTTGGAGTACGGATGCTCTTAGTCTTCTGGTGATCGGGTGTGCCAGAAGCATGACATGTTAGTTCTGGACAAAGTCAGGTGCAAAGCTCACTGTTTGAGTGTACTCTTGAGTGGTTGATCATCAGAGATGATGACAGCCTGAAATGCTGCTAGCTCTGCTTATCTGGACAGAAGAAAGTTGTTGCCTGCAACTCTCTCTGAGATATTATCAGTGAGCTAAGTGGGATAGCCCCATGCTGACTGAGTTGAGCTGGGCTTGTTTAAGCACGCTTTTCTGGTCTCAAAAAGCAGCCTAAAAACATGACCACAATGAGATGCACTAGGGAAGGAGGGAAATATTTTCACTTATGAAACTGGGTTTTAGGATT